AAAGGTATCCATCTATCAGGTTCATCAAATCAGATTAACTAGGCCAAGGTCAAGGTCAATCAAGTTGCATGCCTCACAGTTAAGTTTCCAATGTGCATCTGTGCATTGTGAAGCTTATAAGAGTGTAAATCCAGCAAGAATCTAATTGAGGCATTTATACAGACTACATTGTATTTACATGATCATTTCAACTCAACTTTTTCTTTATTTTCAAAATTTTTCAATTGCTTCTATACACAAGGTATTAAACATATGTTTCATCTCCGACAAGTGTCAAGTTATACTATCATTGCTTAGCAAAAATTATGGAACCAAAAATATGCCAAGAATGCTTGATGCACCCCCAAACTTAAACGACACAGTGTCCTCAATGTGGATATGGATGCAAGTGAGAGACAAAAATGACAACGAGTATAAAAGGAACAACAATACCTAGGGGGAGGGAACGGCATTTTGAGACAAAAACCCCCAAACTTGAACTGGACTGCGCAACCTGGAAAGCAACATGAAGAACCAAAAGAAACAACCACAAACAGCATTAATAGCACAAGCAAAAAGACAGAAAATGAATGTATCGAAAGTTAACAGAACATAAAGAATTTGCATTGCAAAAAGAGTTTACATGATGACAAAAAGAGCTGTACAGGGATCATGTCGACCAGAGCAACCTATACATAGCAAATTCTTACAGTGTAAAAGGAAAACAAAATATACAAGAGAAATAGTTACAGAGGAAACAAAAGAGAAGGTCCACACGCGCAACAAGCTACTGGCCAGAAGGTAAACGGGCGAGGATGGAATGGAGGAGAGATTGAGTCTTACGCCGTTCAGCGGAAGCCAAACGACGGTCCTCAGCAGCAAGACGACGATCTTCTTCAGCACGTGAAGAAGACTCACACAGAGCCTGAGTGCACGCGGACAAAGAATGCTCAAAACGATCTAGTCGCGCATGAATACCGGCAATGGAAGCCCGGATGAAAGCCTGGTCCTGGTGAGAGTCGACCGAAGGCTCTACCCGCGCAGTGGCTGCGGCGGTGGAAACTGCCTCAGAAGGAGGAGGAGGTGGAGCGTGGATGAACAGGGGGGCCGGAGGCGGAGGGGTACTAGAATGGCTCAGAACATTGATCCACCGGCGCTGGGTAAAAATTTTAATTTTGTCGCCTTTTGGTTCGTGGGGAGGAACAACGAAACCCTTGTGCTGAAGGAGTCGAGTGATGAAAAACGGCAAAGGCAATTTCCGATTTTCAACTCGCGGAGCCCGTGCATTATGAGCATCATGCCAAAACTTCATAAAGGTGGACCAAATGAGCTCTGGGATGGAGAACCATTGGCCTTGGTCCATGGCATATAAGGCTTGCAGAAAGAGGCCCCGACGCTCGGTGCTGTGCACCAAAGGGCAAACATTGTGCTTGAAGACAGTGTCAATGAACCATAGGCGTTCCGGAAGATTGGTCTTGCGGATAAAAGACCGGGGCCGAGTAGGATCGTCAATAGGGCAAATGGCAGCGGCAATCTGCGCCACAGTTAATGTATCCGGCTCCTCATATAAAGGGAGATTCTCACGATTGACAATGTCATCGGGGCACTCAATGGGGCAACCAGAAACCTGAATGATGTCGGTCATAGTGAAAGCATAGGCGGTGCCATCAATGGATGTAGTGAGAGAAATGGGTGGCTTTTCAGGGCACTGGAGATTCTGGTAGAAGAGGCGCACTACACGGGGGTAGGCAACCCTGTCAAGGGGTGCGCAAATGTGTTGCAGGTGCCGGTTAGTCAATTCGGCGACAGCCCACGAAGTTGTGGGTAGAATGTCAAAGGCATCCGTGAGCGGAAATGAGAGTTCGTAGTTGAGTTGTTTGCGATCCCAAGGATCACGTGGTCGGTCACGAGTGACAGCACGGGCACCTGAAGAGGGTCGAGGAGGGCGAGAAGGACCGGCACGAGACATTTAGAGAGGTGGACTTGGTTGAGGAATTTCAGCGAACACCTGGCGTGCACCACAAAAAGGAGAAGATGGAAGTGAGTGGGATGGAGGAGCAAACCCAAAATTTTTAACAAAGAAACAAGCTCTAGCATTGACAAAGCAACAACAAATCCCCAACAAAACCAAACTCCAACATTACTAGCCCATCCTCCGTGTAAAACACCATGAATGAACAAAGGAAAAGAAAAACTAAGGAGGAGGACACAAACCTGAATGTCAGGGTATCCGAGAGCAAGAAGGAAAGCATGAAGAGGGAGGGGAGAGGATGGGGTGGTGAGGTATTGAGGTGAGTTGGTTAGGCAAGTGGATGCTGAAGGTGGTGGGTGGAGGAGTGCCGAGAGGGTGATGGGTGTTGGATGGTCATGCATGCAAGGTGTTGTGCATGCTGGTGGTTGTGAACTTGGTTGTGAGTGGGAGAGGGTCGAGCAGGATGGTGGGGAAGGTAGAGAGAGAGAGAGGTGAAAAGTGGGTGCAATGAGGGTGGTGAAGTTGGAGCCAAGAGAGGGGATGAGAGTGAGGTGGTGGTAGCTTCGGGGTTTAAAAGAGAGAGAGTGAGAGCTTGGTTCGAGCACTCGAAGGCCCACTTCGAGTGCTCGAAATTTCGGCAGAGAGTTGGGTGAGGGGCTAGGGTGTGGGAATGAGGAGTTTGAGCACTCGAAGCTTGGTCTTCGAGTGCTCGAAATTAGGGCAGTAGGTTGCAGGGAAGGGTGAGGGGTGCCGAGAGGTGAGCTGGGTGGTGAGGGGTGTGAGGGGTGGCATGCATGCATGGGCCTGCATGCATGCATGGCCGAGAGGGTGGATGCAGGAAGGTTGATGGTGTTGGAGGGGTGAGGAGGTGAGAGGGGTGGTTTGAGAGTGTTGCATGGAAGGTGGTTAGCTGGGTGGTGAGGGGTGGCATGCATGCATGGGCCTGCATGCATGCATGGCCGAGAGGGTGGATGGTTTGGGTAGGTTGCAGGAAATGGGGTTGTTGTTGGGGAGGAAATGGTGTTTTGTGAGGAAGCCGAGAGTAGTGAGGGTGTGAGGGGTGGCATGCATGCATGGACGTGCATGCATGCATGCAGGGTGGTGATGGTCGTTTAGAGAGAGAGAGAGATGGTGGGTTTGGATGTGGGGGTTGGTATGGTGCATAGTGTGTATTGATATGTTGATGGCATAGTGGCCGAGAGATGGTGTGAGAGAAGCTGGTGTAGGTTGGTAAGAAGGGTGAGTTGATTCTTGCATGGTGGCTCATGCAGTTGGGGAGGGTTGCAGATGGAAGTTGGAGCACTCGAAATGGCCTTTTCGAGTGCTCGATATGGTGGCAGAGAGTGAGGGTTGGCTGGGGCATGGAATTCGAGCACTCATACCAGAATTGAGAGTGCTCGAAATGAGGGCAGTAGGTTCGGCAGTATGGATGGAAGAATTTGGAGCACTCAAATTGGAAGCTAGAGTGCTCCAAAAATGGGCAGTGAGCATGGGATTGATGGTGAAGACATCTGGAGCAATCCAAATGGAATTTAGAGTGCTCCAAAATGGGTAGTAGCTCATGGAATTTTGATTAGATCATTCGAGCACTAGAATCTTGGCCCAGTGAGCATTTTGAATGGATGCAAGTGCTGAAACAAATGTGTCAAACTTTGCAACATCTTGCTAATGCATGAATATAATTGGAAAATTGTTTTTTTTTTTTTTTTTTTTTTTTTTTTTTTTTTTTTTTTTTAAATGTAACACATTTCCAATGTATGGATGAATTTTGAACTTTGCAAATTCATTCCATTCCAATGCATGGATGTAAAAATTTTTAAATTTGGCATGGCATTCCCATGCATGGAAAGATTTTTGAAGCTTTGCATGGCAGTTGGAAAAATATTTGAAAACTTTGCATGCCATTCCATGCATCGAAAATTTTTCATGTCATTCCCATGCATCGAAAAATCATTGCAAGCAGCAGCTTCAATTCAAGCCATGCATGGAAAATTTTAAAACGTTGCACATTATTCCAATCTAATGCATGGATGGATTTTTGAAGCTTTGCATGCATGGAAAGAAATTGAAATTTTGCATGGGACAATGCATGGGGAATTTTGAAAAATTTTCAAACATTGCAAATGCATGGAAAAAATTTTAAACAGTGCAAGAATTTCAATGCATGGATGATTTTGCGAAAATTTTCAAGAATGTATTACAAATGAGACATTATGCACATGAGTAGCATTCCCAAGATCCGATGAAATTGCTAGGAAGCGATGGAAATTTCCGGGAATGAAAATTAGAGTTGAGAAGGTCTAAGAAAAATCAATTTTTTGGCTTTTCTAAACCATTTCCCAGAAAATTTTGCAAGGCACGAGCAATTTCAAAAAGAAGGAAGCTTGGAAATTGAAAGAATTGCTTCCCTTGCTTTGCTAAATTTAATGTCGATAGCTAGACCAAGCTAGAGCAGGCACTACTCCTCATAAATGGGGTCCGTCAAGGGGACTTCCTCAACTTTTCGGGTTAGAATTGTGCTGTCAATGCAAGGCTTAAGCCTTTGGCCATTTACCTTGAAGAGTGATCCACTTGCAGGATCATGAAGTTCGATTGCTCCATGAGGAAAGACGGTAGTGACAATGTATGGACCATCCCATCTTGACCGGAGTTTACCGGGAAAGAGTTTCAAGCGGGAATTGAAAAGCCAGACCTTTTGTCCCGGGGCAAAAGACTTTTTGACGATGTGTTTGTCATGGAAAGCTTTAGTCTTTGCCTTGTAAATTTTTGCATTTTCATACGCGTCATTACGCAATTCCTCAAGTTCATTTAATTGCAACGCACGATTAGAGCCGGCTTGTTTGAGATCAAAATTGAACCTTTTTACGGCCCAATAAGCACGGTGCTCTAATTCTACCGGGAGATGACATGCTTTGCCAAAGACAAGTCGATATGGTGACATGCCAATGGGTGTCTTATAAGCTGTCCGGTAAGCCCAAAGTGCATCGTTTAGCCGTAATGACCAATCTTTGCGGTCCGGTCTAACCGTTTTTTCTAAAATGTGCTTAATCTCCCGGTTAGAAATCTCTACTTGACCACTCGTTTGAGGGTGGTAAGGTGTAGCAACCTTATGAATGACTGAATACTTAGCAAGGATGGATTTGAGATAACGATTTCGGAAATGAGATCCGCCATCACTAATGATTGCTCGGGGTGTACCAAAACGACTAAAGATGTGAGATTGAATGAAATGGATCACGACTTTATGATCATCGGTTTTGGTAGCCGCGGCTTCAACCCATTTAGACACATAATCCACCGCTACAAGGATGTACTCATAGCCATAAGAAGATGGAAATGGTCCCATGAAGTCAATCCCCCACACATCAAAAATTTCAACAATTAAAATGTTGGTGAGGGGCATCATGTCTCTTCGGGACATGGATCCAAGTTTTTGACATCGTTCACACGATTTGCAAAAATTGTATGCATCCCGGAACAAGGTAGGCCAAAAGAATCCGCTTTGAAGGATTTTGTTAGCGGTCTTTTTGGCACTGAAATGGCCTCCACAAGCAAGAGTATGGCAAAAATTTAAAATGCTTGTGGCCTCGGTTTCAGGAATACATCGCCGGATGATTTGGTCCGGGCAATACTTGAATAATTCCGGATCTTCCCAAAAGAAATGCTTGACTTGGGAGAAAAACCGGTCCCTCTCTTGTTTGGACCAATGAGCTGGAATTTTGCCAACCACAAGATAATTGACAATATCCGCAAACCACGGAAGAGTAGAATGTGAAACTTGAAGAAGTTGCTCATCCGGAAAGGAATCACGGATGGCTGCAAATTCTGAAGATTTCTCAATAAGTAAGCGAGAGAGATGATCGGCGACAACATTGTCGGTCCCTTTTTTGTCCCGGATGTCAATGTCAAACTCTTGAAGTAAGAGGATCCATCGAATTAAGCGGGGTTTTGTCTCTTTTTTCGCTAACAAATGCCTAAGAGCGGCATGATCTGAAAAGACGATGACCTTGGAGCCAAGAAGATAGGAGCGAAATTTATCCAAGGCGTACACCACAGCTAGCAATTCTTTTTCAGTGGTGGTGTAGTTCAATTGGGCATCGCAGAGAGTTTTGCTAGCATAATAAATGACATGCGGAAGTTTATCCACACGTTGACCCAAAACCGCCCCTAATGCATAATCGGATGCATCACACATGATCTCAAAGGGAAGAGACCAATTAGGGGGTTTCATGATCGGGGCAGAGGAGAGGAGAATGCGAAGTTTGATGAAAGCTTCCATGCAAGCGTCATCAAAATTGAACGGAACATCCTTGGCTAAGAGATTACACAAGGGCCGTGAGATTTTGCTAAAATCTTTGATGAAGCGACGATAGAATCCGGCATGGCCAAGAAAAGATCGGATTTGACGGACGGAATTCGGAGGAGGAAGATTAGAGATTAACTCAACTTTTGCCTTGTCTACCTCGATTCCCCGCTTAGAAATGACATGTCCTAAAACAATGCCTTCTTGGACCATAAAGTGGCTTTTCTCCCAACTTAGAATGAGATTCGTCTCTTTGCATCTTTGGAGCACAAGAGATAAATTTTTGAGACACGAGTCAAAGGAGGAGCCAAATACGGAAAAGTCATCCATGAAAACTTCCAAGAACCTTTCAACCATATCAGAGAATATGGACATCATGCACCTTTGGAACGTTGCCGGTGCATTGCATAGACCAAAAGGCATGCGTCGATAGGCAAAAGTACCAAAGGGACATGTGAATGTTGTTTTCTCTTGATCTTGGGGGGCGATGGCCACTTGGTTATAGCCGGAATAACCATCAAGAAAACAATAGAAGCTTTGTCCGGCTAACCTTTCTAGGATTTGATCAATAAATGGGAGTGGGAAATGATCCTTCCTAGTTGATGAGTTGAGTTTACGATAGTCAATGCACACACGCCACCCGGTGGTGGTTCGTTGTGGCACGAGCTCGCCCGCGGAATTTTCAACAACAGTGAGCCCGGATTTCTTGGGGACAACTTGTGTGGGGCTCACCCACTTGCTATCAGAGATAGGATAGATGATTCCCGCATCTAGCAATTTGATCACCTCTTTCATGACCACTTCCTTCATGTTTGGATTTAACCGGCGCTGGACCTCTCTAGTAGGCTTTGCGTCATCCTCCATATGAATGCGGTGCATACAAATGGAGGGGTCAATTCCTTTCAAATCTGCCACTGTCCAACCAATAGCTTCTTTATGCTCTTGGAGCACCGCTAAAAGGTTGGTCTCTTGGTCTTTTTGAAGGTCCGAGGCAATAATGACCGGAAGGGTTTGCTTTGGACCAAGGAACACATACTTGAGATGGGCCGGGAGCGGCTTAAGCTCAAGTTGTGGCGGAGATAACAATGATGGGACCGGAGGAGTGGTGGAAAGTTGGGGAAGTGGTTCTTTTGGAATTTTCCAAGGAGGTACATCCATGATAGCATTAATATCAAGCAAGGAATTGACTTCTTGAATGGCTTGATCAACATCAAAGTTTGAGAAGTCAAAATGGGACATGCAAGTTTCAAGGGGATCTTTGCTTAGGATGAAGGGGAGAGATTCTTCGACCACTTCATCAATGACATCCACAAGAAAACAATCATCCTCATTGGAGGGATGTTGAGTTGCATGAAAGATGTGGAGTTTGACTTGCATGTTTCCAAAAGCAATGTCCATCACCCCGGTTCGGCAATTAATTGATGCATTAGCCGTAGCTAAAAATGGTCTACCAAGGATCACGGGAATGTGCTTTTTTGGGTCATGGACTGGTTCCGTATCAAGAACCACAAAATCTACCGGGAAGTAGAATTTGTCCACTTTGATGATGACGTCCTCAAGAATACCTCGTGGATGCTTGACCGATCTATCGGCAAGTTGCAAAACCACGGAAGTCGGCTTAAGATCGCCCAAACCAAGTTGTAGGTAGACCGAGTATGGAATTAAATTCACACTAGCTCCTAAGTCAAGGAGGGCCCTCTCGATTTTGCTGTCACCAATGACGCACGAGATTGTGGGGGCACCCGGATCCTTATACTTCGGGGGAGTGCTGTGCTGAATAATAGCACTAACATTTTCAGTCAACCTCACTTTTTTTGGCAAATGATTTTTAGAAGTGCGCTTTTGAGTGCACAAATCTTTGAGAAATTTTGCATAGGGGGGGATTTGCTTGATAGCATCCAACAGGGGCAAGTTAATCTTCACTTGCTTGAAGACTTCCCACATGTCTTGAATTTTACAATTCTTGTTCCCAAAGTGTGTCGACTCTTGAAGACGTTGAGGAAACGGAGCTTTTGGCTCATAAGTAGTTTCCACATTTGGGGAGACATGTGTGGGATATCCGTGAATGGTATTGGGACAAGAATTTGGATTAGAAGAGCTTGAATTTGGATTTTTCAACGGCGAAACTTCTTCACTTTTGTCTCCATCGACCTTGTTGTCCACCACTCTACCACTCCGAAGGGTGGTGATAGCTTGAACTTGTTCATGAGTCGGCCCACTCGGAGGAGGGGTTTCGTCAATCACATGCATTCCTCTAGGATTTTCAAAAGGTTGAGAGGGAAGCTTGCCCTTGTCCTTTTGAAGCAATTGATTCACCGAGTTAGCTATTTGGCCCACTTGATTTTTGAGATTAGCTATGGATTGAGTATGAGAGTGAACCATTTGGAGAGTAGGCTGCAAGGATGTCAAGAGTTGCTTGTTGGCATCCATTATTTGCTTATTTAATGATTCCATCATTTGCTTGTTTGCAGCTACTATCTCGTCAGTTGGACACACAGGAGGTTGATTGGAGACATTTGGATTGTAAGGAGGACGGTAGCTTGAAGAGGCTTGGAAAGGTCTACCTTGATATTGAGAAGAGGGCTGATTTTGCCGCCCTTGGTTTTGGAATTGGGAATTCTGTGGGGCTTGTTGCCGCCATGAGAAATTCGGATGATCACGCCAACCCGGATTGTAGGTGTTGGAATATGGATTGTTCCCGGGCCGCGAGAACATGGCATTAGCTTGCTCTTGGTTGGGACTAGGAAATTGCTCCGATGTGGGGCAATCTTCCGAGAGATGGAATGGACTAGTACATAAAGCACAAACTGAACTTGCCGAATTTTGAGACAATGAAGGAGGAAGATGTGGTGCCATCAATTGATAGAATTTATGAGCGATGGCATCCACTTGAGATGATTCCTCCCTTATTGACTTTGGTTGACAAGGGTTGGTGTTGTTTGGAGTGGTTGCGGTCGGAGCCCTACGAGAATTGTGTTGAAGTGAATTTTCACTTAAATTCTCAAGTAAGGTCCAAGCCTCATCCGCATTCTTGGACATGAACATCCCACCACAAGAAGAATCAACCATGAATCTATGGGTTTCGGTCAAGCCGGCATAGAAAGCTTGCACTAATTGCCATTTTGGGATCAAATGATGAGGACACTTCCGAAGAAGATCTTGTAACCTTTCCCAAGTCTCGTGGAGTTGTTCTCCATCAACTTGAGAAAAGCTTAGAATGGAACGCCTCATTTGGTTGGTTTTACTCACCGGATAATACTTCTTAAGAAATTCTTGTTGCAATTGAGCCCAAGAAGTAATAGAGTTGGGAGCGAGGGAGTTCAACCAATATTTTGCCCTATCCTTTAGGGAGAATGGGAAGAGATGGAGATGAAGTGCATTGTCCGGAAAACCTCTCAACCGGATGGTTGAACAGATTTCAAGGAACTCATCAAGATGCTTGTATGGATCTTCATTATCAAAGCCATGAAATGATGGAAGCATTTGAATGGTACTAGACTTGATCTCATATTGAGCTGCATCGATGTTTGGCATCACTATGCAAGATGGAGAAGCATAGGTGGTAGGGATGAAATGATCTCTAAGAGTCATTGGCTCGATATTAGGAATTTCAGCCCTTTCATTCCCCGGATTTCCTACGTTATCCCCCATTATATTGAATTCAGTTTCAAGGTCCCTTGTAAGAGTGGGTTCCCTAAGGTTCCGTCTAAGAGTTCTTTCAAGAGAATTGATATCAATGGGCGAATCGATTGTGGGTAAGGAAAGTGACCTACGACCGAACATCAACAATAAAGCATAAACTCAACAAAGCAATTCATCAACCACAACTCCACATACGATGTTCCCTTTCTCCTCAATTATCAAGACGGAAAATGTAAATGGCCACGACAAGGACCGATGCTTTAACACAAAATTTAAACAGGATAAGAGCCTCAACAAGGGCTTCACAACTAAACTAAAACTAAATTTAACACATGCACAATATTCACAACTCGAAACTAGAAGTCACGAGACTTACCTGGGGTCCTCTAGACTTACAATTTGCTAGCATTCCCACGGCGAGCTTCGAGTCCCTAGAATCTTACAACACTTAAAACACAAAGGTGGTCAAAACACACAAGGAATATTCACAAGACACAATATTCACAATCAAACTAAATTTAACCCTAGAAACTTCGGTTGCTAAACCGTTTGCAGTCCCCGGCAACGGCGCCAAAAATTGATCGGTTGGTCAATTAACATCAACCTTTGCAATAGCACGAATCATTGTAAAATAGGGCTATTGGTCGGGTAAGTCGAACCACAGGGACTACGCTAGTCTAATACAACCTAAATGTCTAGAATCATTCTTAGAATGATGAAGGGTGTATAGAGGTTTTGTTGGATGTCACTTAAGCTAGGAAATTAAAAGTGCATAAAACAATAAATTGCAAGAATTCAAGGGAGTGAAGTACAAGTAAAGAAGGCTAGGGAAATGAATCCACCTCCATCCCTATACACATGCTAGGTTAAGATTAATTTAAGGGGAAAACAACATATATGATAGTCATGATACATAACAATACTAGGTTGCTATAGTATCCTTAAGAAGTTCATTTAATTAGAAAGGCAAGAATAAACCATCAAAGGTTCACATGATCAACTACCTAAACTAAAATGTAGCTTAGAACATGCTTACTAAGCCAAGGATTATCAAGCCCTAATTTAAATGGTGAATGCACATAAAGCTAAGAATCAAGTATAGCCCATCAAAGGGAAACCCTAAGCCATGAACTATCTAGGTTCTCCAACTCCATGCCATTAAAACCATTCCATGATCTAACTTCCATTGTCACCATGGAAGTGCAAGCAATATGATTAAGAAAAGCAACCATCCAAGACAAGATGAATAACTCACAATAATCATTTAAAACATTCAACATTCATTACAACAAAAATGAGGCTCTTGACCATGGAAAGACTATCAAAAATACATTGTAATCCCCAAAAATAAACTATACTAACACATGTTTACAAGGGAGGGGTTTCATCACCTCCCTAGATGAGGTTTAGTTACCCATTGGTGAACTAGAAGAAGGAAGAAGCATCATCCTCATCTCCATTTTCGAGCTCCTACTGTAGCACTCAAGAACACCCTTCTCCTTGCTCTCTTCTCTCTCATTTCTCTTGCTCAAGATAAAGCTTAATCATATATGTGGCCTTTGGGTAGCCTTTTATGCTCCAACAATACCCTCTCTCCTCCAAGGAACACCTCCAACCACTTCATAAAGAAGGGAGATGGCATTGGGGAAACCAATGTGCAAGTGGGCTGAAATGAGCCATTTCCGAAGGGCATTCTGCCTGATTTTCGAGCACACGCTTGGTGACTTCGAGCACTCTAACTTAGTGCAATGTGCAACATGCTCCTCTTGCTCAGTGCTGACCTATTTTGGGAAAACTGCTATAACTTTGTGCCCCGAACTCCGAATGACGATCTGTTTGAAGCTTTGGAGAGCTGATTCAGTGTTTTAAAAACTTCATGTTTTGATGAAGACCCAATTCTCAAGTCTGGTTGGTCGAAAATGGGGAGAAAGGCAGTACATCAGTGCTGCTAGGCAGTTCTGCGCACCTCTGTTGTGAAGATCATAACTCTCTGCTCCGAACTCCGAATGATGAAACACTTGAAGATTTGGAAAGCTGATTCAGAGCTACAAATCTTTCATGTTATGAGGGAAGTCCAGTTCTCGAGTTTGGAAGGTCAAAATGGCAAGCAAAGTCCAGGCTCTACTGCTGCCAGAATTCAGCATTGGCACCTTTTGTTGCTCAGGATTCCACAAGGCCTTATTCTTGTTCCATTTTGGCCAATGAACCTGAAAATGCATAAAAACATAGAATTGGAGTTAATCTACATAAAATAATTAATAACTGGACTTTGTTAATGTAATTTAGGGCGCTTGAATGTACATTATTCGGCGCTTATCAATTGCTTTACAAAAATATGATACCAAAACTATGCCAAGAATGCTTTGATGCACCCCTAAACTTAAACTACACAGTGTCCTCAATGTGGGACATGGATGTAAGTTAGAGACAAAAATGACAAAGAGTAA